CCTCAGATGTCTCCTGTCCTCAGCTGTCTCCTGTCCTCAGCTGTCTCCTGTCCTCAGCTGTCTCCTGTCCTCAGCTGTCTCCTGTCCTCAGATGTGTCTCCTGTCCTCAGCTGTCTCCTGTCCTCAGCTGTCTCCTGTCCTCAGATGTGTCTCCTGTCCTCAGCTGTCTCCTGTCCTCAGATGTGTCTCCTGTCCTCAGATGTGTCTCCTGTCCTCAGACGTGTCTCCTGTCCTCAGATGTGTCTCCTGTCCTCAGATGTGTCTCCTGTCCTCAGCTGTGTCTCCTGTCCTCAGCTGTCTCCTGTCCTCAGCTGTGTCTCCTGTCCTCAGCTGTGTCTCCTGTCCTCAGCTGTCTCCTGTCCTCAGCTGTCTCCTGTCCTCAGCTGTCTCCTGTCCTCAGGACATCCTGTGGACTCCATCAGTCCTGTGGAGCTGAGGGTCTTGGACCTGCTGCAGCACCTGGACATAGAGTGGGCCGTGGCTGAAGGAGGGAGGAACGTGCTGAAGCAGCTGAACCAGCACCGGGTCCAGGAGCGCCGGGTCCTGGCAGAGGTCAGTCCTGTGAGGTCTGCTTGTTGTCCCTTCACAATAAAAGCCCTGAAGAGTGTGTGTCCCTGCAGGCCCAGGCCCGGGTGCAGGAGTCCTGTCAGAAGCTGGACCTGCTCAGGCTGTCCCTGGAGCAGCGTCTGACTGAACTTCCTGCTGATCATCCCAAACGCTCGGCCATCAAAGACCTGCTGCAGTCAGGAACGTCCCCCAGCTTCCACACGCKGAGGACACCACCCCTGTCCCTGTCCTCCTCGTCCTCCTCGTCCTCCTTCTTCAGACCYGCCAGTCTCACAGGTCTGTCCTCACATGTTCACCTGCAGGGTCCACATGAGGCCTGAGGAGCTGAAGTCCTGCTGTTCCTCCTCAGGTCACCTAGAGGTCTGTCTGATGGGCTGTCAGAACCTCCTGGAGTCCGTCCCGGGTCGGAGCCGGGTCAGCACCTCGTCCTCCTCTGGGACCTCGTCAGAAGGAAAGTCTCTGAAGCTGAAGTCTTCAGGGCGCAGCGTGAACGGCAGGACCACCAAGTCTGAGGATCTGTCCTGTAGGTCCAGTTCTACCTCAGCCAGAGCCGGTCCTGGTCCTGGTCCTGGTCCTGCTGGACTTCATGTCTTCTTCTGTCATGTTTCAGCTGAAGTGCGAGCCGTGCTGAAGGTGGACAACAGGGTCGTGGGACAGACTCACTGGAGACAGGCTGGGAAAGAAGCCTGGGGTCAGAACTTCAGCATCGAACTGGAGCGGGTCAGTCAGACCGTCTCAGAGACCACCAGGTCCAAAGAGGACCCCCTCAGACCTACACACAAACCAGTAAAGAACCCCCTCTGTTCTGTCTCTGAAGTCCAGGGAGCTGGAGATCGCCGTGTCCTGGAGGGACTGGAGGGGTCTGAGTGGACTCAAGTTCCTGCGTCTGGAGGACTTCCTGGACAACCAGAAACACGGACTGTGTGTGGAGCTGGAGCCTGAGGGGATCCTCTTCATCGAGGTTCTTATCTCCTCCTGCAGGTCCTCAGGTCCTCAGGTCCTCAGCTGAGGGGCTGCAGGGACCAGAACCACAACCAGATTAGACTATAAACACCAGTGTTGTATAAAGTACCTCAAAGTGATACTTCAGTAAAAGTACAAGTATCTTATCATAAAAATACTTTGG